GATAGGGAGTGCCCACTCTTTCGCCCACTGGGATAAACTATCCAAATACGCTTGTAGGGTTGACACATCTAGTGACGACTGAAGTGGTCCCCATAGTTTCCGGTGGTCTGCGTAGACGAGGCAAGGTGAAAATAGCCGACTGAGGAGATCGTTGATCCATAAGAGGAACAGTACGGGGCCCAGAACTGAACCTTGAGGGACTCCACTGAGAACTGGATGCGCAGCGGATGTTGAATCACGGATCCTCGCCGCATATGCCGTCCCTTCAGAAAGTCCTCTACCCAAGTGAGTTATGGATTTATCACTCCAAACATTCTCAGCTCCAAGAGCAGTCTGTCGTGTGGAACCTTGTTGAAGACTTTGCTTTGGATGAGGAGGAAGAGGAGGAGATGAAGATCCGGCAGCCAACGGCGGGTCAGCNTCACTAGAAACCTCAGTTATCGGCAAACGTTCGCGTATCCTACGACCAGCTGTCGGGGGAGAGGTGGACACAGGCACTCAAGGTTCGGGTTGTGATGGGACTTCGGACGTGTCAGATGGTCTGGGTCTCTTGCTTCGTGTCATCACAGGACGTTGGGAGCGAACAACATCCGCGTAATTCAATGAGCTGATCGGCCGCTGGACGTCAGTGAGCGAAGTAACTTCCGGTAGTGAAGGCTCATTGGGTATGGGGATGACTGGTGAATCAACATTGGAGGTACGCATTGCCACACGCCTTGGAGCCACCGAATTAAATAGTACAGCACATTTGTCATAAATCACTTTGAGGAAATCCGATTTAAATGAGCACAGTAAATCGTACACTTTGGGGCTGACCGTATTGCAACCTAGGTGCAGCCAATGATCACAACCGTTGCACTGCAGAGTTTTTGTGCGTGGACCCATGTTTTTAACACAAGTAGCACATGGGGACATTTGAACCCTGGTAATAGGAGCCATAGTATGTTGTAAATCCACAGCAAGAGCACAGGGTCACAGAAAATTATTTTCCACGATAATGCTCTTCAAACATGCTGTGTTGAACACGAAAATTCATTCCCTGATTTGGCCCTTTGTAGTCTCTCTAAAAACGGTTGAATGAAGTTTTTTCTGTCCCTCACTGTCCATACTTACTGAACACAAATACCTGAAGCCACATTCAAGCCTATTTAAAAGTCAAAAAGTAAAGATTTACCTCAATCTACATGTAGAAAAAAACCTGTGCTTGTGCGAGAACAGAGGCGTCGATTCGCATCCAGCAGGTTACATGTCCAACAATGGGTTGTTCAGGTAGGGTCGATTGTACCCTACAATTGTATAACCGGTACTGTTAGATGGTGCTAAACATGCTCATTAAAAAGAGGTTATAAGCGCCGATCACTATTATTGGAATATGACGCATTGCACGATTTTGACGGAACAGGCAATACCGAAGTTAAGCGACGAGTTTTCGGCTACCACTTACTGATGCATGTCATCAAGTTGGCTTCTTTTGCAGTCAATTTTGACCTCAAACAGGCAGCAGTTTGCAGAAAGCCAACGGTGATTAAGCTATGAACGGGCACATCGGTATGAAAAATAATGACTAAGGGACTGGGTCGCGTAGACTGATTTAGGCTGAACAACACGAACAGCCTAAGTGACCACAAGGAAAACTATATTTTATATGACTGTAGGTCGTAAAACGTGGAGCTCACACCGCTGGTTTAGATCGCCTACTTTCTATTTTATATGTAGGCTCTACTCTCTCGTTTGACTTCTCCAGTTACTTTTCCCGCATTGATCGACTCAAGACAACATCAAACACCGTCGCTTGAATAAGCAGGGTTATTGGTTGCGTAAGCCGAAACCAAAACTCCACTGTTCGAACCTCACCTCCATCACCATCTATTCTCAGACATTAAGTGTCGACAATGAATTAGATGCTACTCATTTGCAGAACACTGAATAAACACTTTTCGTGTATCAACTAGGGGAGAGAGATGAATAATATAATTGTGATAAACTAAGGAATCCAACTGTAACTAGCAAATACGTGTGTATTAAGGATTATTCATATAAAGTGGATAACTTTTACGCCTATTAGCGAACCATTGCAAGCATACATCAAAAAAGGAACAGAGAGAAACTGAAACGTACTGATGAGGATAAAACATGACAGTTCAAACTAATTCCCTTCTCTTATGGGTTCGTGTTTACATCGTATACTGTGGTTCAGTCCACCAGAGACGGACAAGTAACGGATAGACCCAATCAGGTAGCTGAACTAAGCAACACCCGGGTATTTAGTTGACAGATCTATAGTTCTCACGAACACGGATCCGTTCATATCCATCTTATGTCAAATTCACTGTTCATCCCCTCGAAACTGAGATGTGTGCCTCAATCACATCCAACTACGATATTGGCCTGAACGACAAAGCGATTGATGGGGATTAGTCTACACCAGTCTGAAGTCCCTTTCGGTATTCAAGTTTGTCTGTCTGCTTTGCTCCAGTGTCATACATGACAGTGAGACTGGGTACGGTTCAGAGTCGTTTTCACACCTTACGGACTGAGTTTACTTCCATGGAGGCCAAATCCCTGTCAGCACGCGCTGCGCACACATGTGTAATACTAAAACTAAGTTGCCGAGCGCACACACAGTTGCTCGTAAATTCAAAAACTTATTAAAAAGATGTTTGATCAACTATGAAATTGAACGATCGAAACAAAAAAGTAAACTGATGATCTCTGACTCTCTTGTTGCGAATGGAAAAGCGCACATAAGAAACGTTCACATTATAAAGCAATAGGGTTTGATGACCGTTTAATTCCAAAGAGAAAATCCGTCAGGAAATCTGGGAACATCATTTATCAAAGTCTAAATCAATTTCAGCAGCGCATTTTAAAATCCCCTCAGAGACCGTGTCGCGTATGGTTTAGCAGGTTAAAGATCAATCACTGCACTAGTCCCCTTTTCTTTATTCCATATCAGTGCATTTGTGGGGCGCATTACATCGGTTACAGTAAAGTGTGTTTATCAAAAAGATCGCTTGAACTTGGTCTAACTGCTGTGTGTGTGTGTGTGTGTGGAACACTGAGCAGTTTGAACTACTCTGGCTAAGGGTCATATTGTGGCCAAGACTTGAATTAAACAGATCGCCTGACACTTGTACTGACGTGAAGAATGCACATGTGAATTTAGATTGATTGCGGACAAAAAACATCAATGAATGTATTACAAGAATGATTGATCTTTGTGGTATATCCAGTATTATTTTTAAGATTCCATCTATGATATGATACTGATGCACGACTGAAAACGTGCAATAGTCGAAAATACTTTGGGAATCGAATCATTTCAGAGCGGATACGAACCAATTTTTCAATCATGGGTTTCGGCACAAATCGCCTAATAATGAGATCAACTGATGTGGGAAAAATAGAGAAGTAAATATCACAAGTTAGTCGGTCCGAAGTCGTCCAATCATCCCCGATATGGCATGCATTCTAAAGAAACTTTCCCGTATGAAGTCAGTCATATTGCACGTCCGTGATCTCACAAAACTGATTGGAATTTTAAATAACGGTCAAAGAGTTGTATCATCAAAGAACTGTTGAATGGAAATAACGTGAATTCGGTTAGTGTCTTACATAACACCGGAATATCATAAACTGTAGTGCGCTTAAAGTGACTTGAGCCGCGATCAGACCGGGAACGCTTCAAGTGGAACTGAAATGACAGACCCATATTTTATTCCGGTTATACTGTATAACATCTTTTAGTAGTCGATGAGTGAAGGAATACAGTCTGATTCATCGTGCAATGTCAACTCGTCATACACACATGTACTGTGATGCACTCACAGAGGCCCCCGGGAACAAAGTCCCCGAAATGAGAAAGTCAAGGGCGCAGTGCACGAGCATATGGACCGTCTGCATCCGACCATACCTAACAATCAGTGTGTTATCGGAATCAATGATCCCAACCCAGCAGGAGCGGTACATGGAGGAAAAAAGGTAAATCAGTCGTCCGTTGCGGATGTAAATCTACAATATGAATCCTGCGTCGTCCTGCTCTGCGGTTGGTAGTTCATGGGATAGACACTGATTCGTGTGCTTGACCTGAATTTGAATGCGGTTACTACACGCTTATCTATCCAGGCATCTCATTTACCATGTCCCTATAAGATTTTAAACATTGACCGACTTGGTTCATTCGTGTTGGTAATCATCTATAGAGTGAAATGTTGGCATGATGCATTCACCTGAGTCAACCGGGGCGGGCTCACAGCCCTTATTGTCCCTTATTGTCCGGATTTGAGCCACCACAAGCTTTGGGATATGACTTTTAACTATTGGGAGCAGGTAGTAAACAGCTGTGTAGTGATTTTAAGGATTATTTGTATCAGCACATACTTACAGGATGATGAATCACTTAGTATTCTGTATTAAACGACATGCTCGAACGGACTGATAACATCCGAGTTGAACTCAGGTAACATGTCATTTATTATTACTATGGTAATGACCATAAAGAAGAAGATTCTGTTAAGGATGTATGAATTTGATAGCCCGAACAACTCGAAAAATCCCTGGTATAAATTGAGCTAATATCCAGACATCTTGGCTTGAAAATGAAATAGTGACCGTTTTAACATGTTTCAATATATGTGAATCGGTCTAGCATTTATCCAATTGCGTTCGAACGAGTTTAATTGTGCTCGGGCAGATTTAGTGTGGCGTGTAACCTTGTGTGCGAACCGGGCTTCGCTTAACCGATTCACATCAGTACATTCAACCGAAAATCAGTGCTGATGGTTAACTTTGGTTTTACGAAGAAACAAACTGAAACGTGCTGTTGTTTTGTTTTACGATTCTATCGGTAGAAGGGTGGGGGTGGTGTGGACGGGTGGTGGGTGGAGATGATTACCAACGCTTACAAACAAGAGATTAACCTCACGTTTTTTCTATTAGTTCGATGGAAGATTAACAACAGTTGAGGTCATCGGCTCCAAGTGACTGTTCCACGCGTTCGGCATGACTGTGGTTTTTTGAACATGTACCAGATAGTTTTTGCTTGACTGATAGCTACGGATGTACGCAGAGAAAACTGCCCGTTAAAGTTCCCTGGCATAGAATTCAAACACGTTTTTTAACTACAAGGATCTTACATGCGAAACATATTGTAAGAATATCATATTGGAATATAACTTTTCGTCCAACGTTAGTTTGTTGACCAAGGATCAATGATAACGATACTAGTAACATAAATGATAGTAACTTCACTTTCTCTCGTTTGGTATACAGTGAATGTGAAGCCTATAGTACGCAGGAAGAGGGCTGAGGTCCATTAAAACCTGGCAATCAACAATGTTGATGACGCTATCCGAAATCACGAACTAGAGCACAATCGACATTCAACCGATATGGTTAAGTGAGCGCTGCCCCCTCCATGTTTGTATAAAATCTTTAAATAATTGGTTGCTCTCATTGGTCAGATTTTAATCACCTTGACAAATCCGTAAGCTTTACGATCACTGACCTGGTGATTCTGTACAACAACCCTCGGGGTCTTCTTTTTGTTGTTATGAGGATCTCATCCATTGAGAATTTTGTTTATTTCCCACATTTCGGATAAGCTGGTTGTATGCAAAAGTGTTCAATGGTCGGAGTTGAGTACAGGACATTTGGGTTTTCCCAGCTGGGACTTATTAGTCTGTTGTTGGGGACGAAATTATCCGACACCTCTGTGTAACCATTTGAATGATGCGCTGAGGGTGCTTGGCATCCACGTTGTGTCCAGGGTAAGGTGTTGAGCTCGATGACTGTGAGTCCATGCTTCGAAAACCAACAAGAAAACCAAAATGGCGCGTACTGTTGGTGAATCTAAATTAGGAACCAACAGCTATCTAGTATTCATT